TTATAGTTACACATGTTGAGCCCTGTTTAGCTTGGATATCCCGTATCATTGACACGGCGGTAGCTACTCCCCTGGACACATGCGTTGGCACCCTTTGTCCAAACTTTTATACTATGCCAACTGGAGGACTTTGAGCCTAGGTCAGTGCTTCTCGAACTTTCAATACTTGCGACCCAATATTCAATCATAACTTTCATTACGCTCCCCCCTCCCTACAATAACAATGAATTGAATTAAATAATACCATTCTTTGGCGCTAAACTTGCAACACGATTGTAACCTCTGTGCCACCGGCGTATATAAACGTCTTGCTCAAACAGTGCGCTGATTGCTCCGAACGTATACATACGTCTTTCCGAAGTACGATCTTTTCTATGAACTGCTCTCCATAAAATTATTTCGAAGTCTTTGGAATGCAATTAAATCTCCTGGACAATCTATTGACTTATTCATTCCATTTCTATCCCCCCTTCCCAATGCACCAAATATGCTCGCCTACTTATTAAACGATGGCATTTTAGAGATCGCGTAATTTTTAATCAGCATTTGAGGGATTAATTATAAACCATACCAATTATCAAGATAAGTGTTAGTTTTTGCATATAATTTTATATATGAGAAGCCCACGGGGTCACTGGTAATTAATAAACTTGTTCTTTACTTAGAATTGTTAAATTAATTATAAAATACATTGCGTAGCACTTATATATTTTTATTAGTCTTATATCAGTGTAAATGTGTATTTTATATTTAATATGTCAGAATGTATTTTGTTTGTTTACTCTCCGTATATTCATAATTTTTTTAAATAATCTTTTGTTTTTGACTTTTCAATATGCTCGCGCCCCCCCTAGGGTTATCATGCCCCCCAAGGGGAGCGCGCCCCACAGTTTGAGAAACACTGGCCTAGGTTAGATATAGTGTATATCAGCCCCAGCTAAGCTTCGAATTCACGAAGGAGCACTAAGATGATTTGCCAAGAGTTTGCGATCATAATCACTAGGATACCGTTAAAAGTACATAGAGCAATACGAGAAGATTAAACGTGTTGTACATTCTTCTTTAAGTTATAATATTTTTTTTAAAAAAAATATATTACTGCAGTTCAGCAAATAATTAGAAATATTTATTGGTATTGGTTTTGAAATGGGACAGGCAGAAATTTCCACTGAAGTACAATAAGAAGTTTGAAATTATTAATAACAAGTAATATAAAAAAAATGAGTTCCTACTTAGGTCAACAAAGAAAAATTCTCTTTTAGCTACTATTTTTAAGTAATCGCAAGTAAAATAAATATGCTTATACATATGGCAGAATCACAACATTAAGGGGCAAAATAGAAAGCGACTTCCTTTGGAATTTTCCATTTTCCTTTCTATATATAGCGTTGGATTATTATTTTTTTTTGTTTGTTGCTATTTATTCATTCATAAATCACATTCTCAGGAATTCGGCCATCCCAAGTAGGATTCACCCTATGGATTAGAAATCCAACGCGCTATCCATTGCGCTACAGGGACACAAAGTACGGATTTCCTTATTATGTATGATTTTGGACTATTATTTTTGGTTGTTACTATTTATTCATTATTTAAGTAAAATTAATGAATTAATATTTGAAAAAATCTGTATTACCATCAAGTGTCATCCACTACAATTTTAAAAAAATGTATTTGACCATAAAAAATATTTTATTAACGATTGAAAATTTCAACAAGATATATATATATATATATATGTGTGTGTGTGTGTATGTATGTATAAATATATATAAATATATGTATGTATATATATATATATATATATATATATATATATATATATATAT